TAACTAAATTTTTCATTTCTAACCTTTAATTTTGTAATCTTAAAAATCTCAGTAAAATATTATTAAAAAAAAAGAAAATACAATATCAATTAACACACTTAAAGTTCTCAAATTAAAACACATAAAGAAAAAAAAATGAAGAAAGTCAATCCCTAGAGTAATTATATGTAAGCTAAGTTCTCTATATTAGAGAACTTAGTTTGCATGTACTTGTGTGAGCATGCATGGAACAGAACTGATCATTAGTAGACAATCCTGCACGTGAATATAGGTTTTACTAAGGCTAATAATCTAATCTACATTTTCCATCCTACTAAAAAGTATAACATGAAAGCCTCAACTGAAAAAAACCAAGAATTATTGTCTTTCATTATTTCTATTGTTAAATCATTTTTATGACCTTTGTGTTAGCTTTCTATGACCTTTGGTCCATCATTGCACAGCAAATAAAATAAAAAATAACAGAACATGCAAAACAAGGTCAATGATTCAATGTATAATATGGACCAGCAAATACATTTGAATGTAAATAGTACTTTCACTTTGAGAACTCAGATCTATGCCTTTAAACTAATAAGATACTGCTGAGTGTTTTCACTGGCACACTTTGTTGCACTGTGTATTGTGATGCTTAAAGGAAAACTTTAAAAGGTGCCATCTGTTGAAGGTTATTGCCTGTGAAGCATTGAAAAAATGCTCATGTATTGTACAACACTGTATTTTTTTTAGAGACATCTTCACTCGTTTTTATTGTCACTCCTAAAAGGCAATCCAGAGAGACTGGTAAGATTTATATCAGCTGTTTTTTATCAGATGTAAACAACATCTTAGCATTAAGAGATGAGTTGAGGAATAGATAAGCACGGTTGCAGGCTAGTAAATTTGTTGAACTTGTTAAAAAGATATATTTGTTTTAATGCTTCTGGACAGTGGCTAAAATAAAAACATAAATAGTATGGATTCCATTAATTTTTTTTAGTTAATCAGTTGCTCTGAGCTCTTTATTTTCTGGTTCATCTATAGAATTGTGCAGCACTATGGATTTGAATGGGAAAAAGTGATTTGGAGCATACAGAATTGCCCGTGTGGTATTGCTCAGCAACTCCTTACAGACACATTTGTTTAGTAGCATATAATGTTAAAAATCAAGGTTGGGCCAACTATTAAACTCCCAAAGCTTTATTTGGCATAGCAGATACGTATAAAAATACATATATATTACTTCCCAACAGTGGGTCAAACTAAATTACAGTTGAATAAAATATAACTGAACTCAGGTATTCCCAAACTCACACAACTTTAGGAAGCTGCCACTTTGCTTCTGAGCAAGAATAACCTTGTGCTTATTATGATTCTCTCCCCAGAGCAAAGAGCAACCAGCAAGACCATTTATACATTATAGTGCAGGTAGGCAAAAGGATTAACTTCTTCATGCTATAGCCCAAACCTTATGTCCTGGAAGATTGCTATTAAACTTTAAAAAATTAGAAGGTCCCACCTCCAATTTTCTCTCACTTCAGTTATTTTGCCCTGAAATTCCAATTACAGTCCATTTTTTTAATTTATTCCTCAGGCCTCATTAAGAAGAACAGAGCCCATCTGCAAACAAAATCTTTGGACTATTTCTTGATCATAAATACTTCCTAGAATATAAGAGTGATTTCTGTAACTAAATAAGCAGTTTCATATTTTAATACTCAAAATCAAAAAATACTTATGAAGATCTATGTACTCTTGGGAAAAATTGGTGGTACCTTCCTATGACCACTTCTAAGACCAAATCTATTATCTGAATCTTATGATAATATCAGCAAAAATTAAATGTGGTGCATGCTACCATTACACAAGCTGAAAGAAAAATAGAACAACATTCAGTGGAAGATTAACAGTCTTAAATTCCTCCTGTTCAAGTTATATCTTTCTTTAAAAAAGAAATATTAAGAAATAAATGACTCAGAATCAGTTTCTAAGTTTATTTCACTGCAGTAATATAAAGACAGACATTTGGCTTTTAACAGTAAGTTACCAGTTACTTTAATAAGTGGGTGACTGGTGCAGGATTTATGCTGTAAAGATGCTTTCCCCAGTGTGGTGTCTTTTACATAATTTGGACCAAAATTCTCCTCGTGCCAGACAGTTTGGTGAATGGGTAGGGGTTATGGGAGTTACACAATCAGCATCTAAAAGACACTAGGAAGGGGAAGGCTACTGTAACACTGAAACTGAAAGCTCTGTTTGCCAACCTATAAATTCTTTCCATTTTGTTATAAGTGGTTCTGTGTACCTTCTAATCTAAATCCACTAGTTTACAGGATATACAAAGGATTCCATTGGAATCATAAAGCTCTCTATGAAACTTCTAAGTGACATCCAATTTTTTGGCAAAATCAAGAGTATATAAAGGGAACTTTAAAAACATTTTAAAGAGTGATGTGCAGATAAGTATTTAAGCATCATGCTACATAGAAGATATCAACAGCACCATTTGCCTACTAGAATTGTTTGGTATACTGTACTGTCTAACAAAGTACTATCTGTTTTCTCCCATATCACAGAGCACAGAAGGAAAAAGATTGTACAGCTTAGCCCATAACTTTTCATCTAATAGGAGTACAATGTATATAAAATGTGCAAATCTAGTTCCTAAATATAATAGCTATAGTTCAGTTCAGAAGTAACAATGAAAAGCATGGTTTTCTCCTACCAGAATATGCCATGGAAAATTTCCTTACCTTCTATTTTGTGCAAGGAAAAAAACTGAAAATTTCTACTACCAAGTTTAAGTAGCTTAAACTATCAAGTTTAAGGTCAGAAATTAGGATGCTGTGATTTAACTTATGGTTATTAAGAATGGCCAAAAACCTTGGCTTGTTTTAAATCCAAATTTGAATGTCACTGAAATGCGTTCCCATATATAAAAGAGGAGAAAGTATGGGATGTGAGTGGGAAGTCTCTGTTTCTTGTTCAGCATGAATCAAGCTTTAATCTTTTCTGTGGCAGACACAAAAGAACATTGTGCTAAAATAAACTTCTAAAAATGTCACTGCATATATATTCCATGAAATTTGCACTCTCAGTCACATGCAGGATATCAGTATAAGAAATCGTATCATATGATACATGATCGTATCAGATCATATGGCACATACTTCTAATACCTTCTGTATTGCAAGCAACACTGGCCAGTGCAGAAGGACAGCAGGACAAAATATTCTCAATTCCAGGTTTTCATTGTACGTGCTTGCTCCAGTAATGATTTCTCCAATTTGGCATGCCTTTTGTGAGCATTGCGATCTTAACTCTTAAACTGGCATACCAATAGAAAAGACACTTTGAAAATCTGCATTTCTTTTAAGCATTTCTCTACCCAAACTGTTCAAAACCAGAAATATTTAATGGATGTGGCTGTTGGCATAGTCCAAACACCTACATTTGAAGCAACTTCCAAATAGCATGTGCTTTATATTGAATCAGTAGAGAGCATTAGGAAAATAGAAGCATTTAAACGGCTAACGAAGTCACTGTTTATGAAATAGTCTGGTTATTGAATCCAAGTAACAAATGAATTAAAAATGCTCTAATTCTGTCTAAGGATAAAAAAGTAAATTAGTGGTCCAAGCATATAGGAGAGGAAATAGCTTCACCCAGAAGAACTAATCACTATAATATATGCTCAGATAGGCCACCAGGTTCCGATGTCTCTTGAATTCTTTATCTGTGAGCAGCTGTAATAAATCCAAATAAAAAATATTAAATATATGTTGACAATTACTGTACAAATAATAAAAAAGCATAAATTAATTTGGAGACCAGTTTGCTTGGCATGATATGGATATGATTTGTCATTTTCTTCTGGAATACTTTTCCAACTTCCCTGTTTAGGCTGGAAAGGTCTCCCACCCAAGTAGTAATCAAGACTGTTCCCCCTTAGCTTTCTAGGTTGGCTAAGTGCTTCCTCCTAACTGTGCAAAAGAGAAAACAAACCCATCACCACAAAACTTCTTCAAGCAAAGAAATTCTGCAGGAACAGATATAAGTGTTTATTAGCTTTTAAAAGTGTGTTCTTTTATAACTTTTAATCATGTATTTATGATTTTAATTTGATGTAAGCTGCCCATCTCCCCCCATTGTGGGGAGATGGGCAGGGACAAGTCTATTAAATAAAAAATTAAATAAATAAATAAAAGATAACTACCTTAAAGAAATTATGAGCTAAACTACAAAGAATTATATTATTGTAATTTATATACTAAAGCTAGCATGGTACAGTGATAATGTACTGGACTGGGAGTAGGGACACCTGAGTTCTAGCTCTCCATTAGGCATGGAAACCAGCTACATGACTTTGGGCCACTCGCTATCTTTCAGCCCTAGACTAGAAAGTTGAAAAATATCCTAGAAGAAGGTAATGCCCAACCACTTCTGCAATGTTGCCAAGAAATCAAGATTGTTTCAAAGGCACCCCCCCCCAAAAAAGGTATTTAATTTCTATATCAGTTAGAGGAGTGTCAGTCGGGACTATGCTGCACAGTATAGAAGCTTGACCCTTCCATCCACTATTCTCCCTTTCCTTTCTCATTGGTGGTGAGAAATTGCTGTATTCATAGATCCTACCCAGGGAGCAGCAGAGTTAGCAGAATCTCTATATTCCTCTTCCCAGTATGTCTATTTGTTATGGTTCAAACCTAGAAGGCAGAGGCCTAGAATAAGCATTTTTGTCTATTTAATCTTAACCATGCTGGGTCGTAGGACAAGAATGTATCAAAGAGCAACAAAATCACATAAAGGCCTTTATTTAAAATGTAACCATTTTAAGGGCCTATCTGAAGAGAGTAGGCCAAACACCCTTTTGGGGAGAGAGGAAGTTTACAAAAGATGTGGGGCCATCATGAGAAGGCCCTAGTTTAGTATCCACTAACCTATTGGCTTGTAAGGCAGATTTGAGAACAGGACATCTATAACCAGACTTAGGACTTATGTCAACAGACCTTCAAATAACCTGATGCCAAGCCATTATAGTCTTTAAATGTTAAAACAAGAAATGAATAAAGTAATTGGTATATAATATCCAGAACATGTAGCCCCCAACAAACAGCCTAGTAGCTACAGGCTACCACTGTTGTTTCTTGTAAGCTGTTACTTAAGGACTAAAGGATGGTATTAGTCTATTTCAAGAAAACAAGCATTTCTGTCATTCCAAAATGTAACATTTTAAACCCAAAATTTCACACCTCAGCTCTGAAAGTTCTTTTCTGTGGCATTGGTACTAAAGACCAGTCTGGGGAACCAAACTTCCCTGGCCAGGTGACATGCCTGTGGGGCATCTTGTATGGGTTGTAAGTTCCAGGTCTGAAGAGACAGGAGAGAGAACAGAGAAGTCCTTTAAAACATGTATCACTTTCTGTTATATACTGCAGTGTTTATGCTGTATACTATATATATTAAAATAAGTATATTGTTGCACATTGTGCTGTTTTTTCCTTCATAGTTGTGCTGGACTGGTTAAATTGTGAAAACAATTGTTATAAGCTTCCATTCAAAATAGCTGGGGTAAGTTGCATAAATAAAAAAGAATAGGCTTTTTAAAAATTTTGGTTTTTTAAATAATTTTTATTAAAACTTAAAAATACAAAGATACAAAACTAATACAAACTAAGAAAAATATAAAAAGTACAGAGAAAAAATAAAAAGTGCAGAGAAAAAGAAAAAAATACAAAGAAAAAAGATATATAAGATATATAAAACTTCCCTCTTCATCAAGACAAGTACAATTTCAGTAAGTTATCAAACATTTTAACAAAAGATCTCTTCTTCCCATATATCATCTCTTATTCATAAACAAAGTATAAAGCTTTGTCATTCAGTCCTAATCAGTAAAAGCATTAAGAGTTACTAGAAATAACAACATATATATTTTAATCTTAATCAGATAAATTAGTTTCATATCCCTTTCCTTTCCTTTTAACATGGTAACTTATCATTTTCTCTAAAAATACAAAAAGCCCTCTTCTTTCCATATCTTATATCTTATTTATAAACAAATCTTTAAAACCTTATCATTTGGACCTAGTCAAGAAAAATCCATTAAGAGCTACCAGAAACAACATATTAAGAATCTTGATCTTTAAGCCCTTCAAATAGTATTCCACAAGTTGATTTCTTACCATTTTCTCTTTCCCTCCTCTCAGAAACTCTTTTACAAATTTCACATACCCAAAATAACATCTATATTTTAACCTTAATCAAAAAAACTAACTTTGTAGTCCTTTCCTGTCCTTTTAACACCGTAACTTGTCACTTTCTCTGAAAATACAACAATCTCTTCTTCCCATATCTTATCTATAAACAAATCTGTAATGCCTCAGTCCTGTCCAGAAAAACCCATTAAGAGCTACTAAAAAGAACATCATATATATTTTAACCTTGATCAAATAAGCCAACTTTATATTCCTTCTTTCTGCTTTAAAAATCTTGATGTTTATTCCCTTTAAAGAGTGTCCCAAAAGCTGATTTCCTTTCATATTCTCTTTGTCTTTTCCCAGGAACTCCTTCATGAATGTAACACATCACTTTTGTAAGTCCAAGATAAGAACATTGTCCAAGTTACTCCTCTGATTTATTATTTGTGCATCCCTTTTAATTACTATGACATCAGCCAGTTTCATTTATAAATCCAGTGTAACATCTTTTTCCATATCATCCTTGTAACTTGTCATTTTTAAATCCAGATCTAAAACAGCCTGATTCTCAGTTGTATCTTCTTCTATCTCCTCTTTTAAACCCATTTTTCTCTTAGCAGACAATCTTAAGAAAAATTTGTAATTGCATTGTTCCCAAATATCCATAAACTTTCCAAAGTTAAAATACTTTTTTCCATTCTGTATTAGTGAGCCTCTTCTCCTTTAATTATAATCTTTAGTTCTTTCTGGTTGTTTCTAGTGCCCAGCCTTCAAAATCTCCTCTTATGTTTTTATTTAATTCACATCTTCCCATGGGAAGATTTCTTACACTTAGATTCAAAATCTTCATATATTTTTAATAAGATGTTAAATAACCTACAGAAGGATTCTTATAATTAATTTCAAAATCTTATTTCCAATCCATCTGGCCCCTTAGTTCATTTATAACTTTCCAAAATCAACATTCTAATCACCCTGTTGCTGTTTATTTCAAAATAATTTTTTAAAAAAGTCTTTAAACTTACAAGAAACTTCTTTTGCTGAGGGTTGAAGGAGAATCACCTGGTGTGATAAAACGTGTCGTTCTGAAGGTTCTTAATAACCAAAACGCAGTTAACAAGCAATTTCCAAAAGTGACTAAGAAAGGAAGTGGGCAAACCCAGTGTCCATTTGAAGGCTCTAAACAGTGGCTTGGGCAAAGCTGACTTTCCCTCAGCTCCCAGAGCTCTAAAACCCACTGGAGACAGATATTTATGGTCTTCTTGCAGGGAGCCTCTGTGTAGAGTGCCTGTGGGCAATCCCAGGTCATCCCCTTTATCTGGAGAGGAATTTTAAGGTGCCAATCCTTTCACTGGCTCCTTGTTCTGCCGCAGTTGTGGGCTCCACTAAAAGCGGAGCCATCTTCAGTCTGCCATTGCTTCCCTGGAAGTCCTAAACTTTTGCTGTAGTATTTCACCTGTCTTTTTTCCTTTTCATATCAATAAACATTAAAGAAATAAGATTATAGTGGGAATGGGATAAAAGTTTAAAACTTCATGATGAAGAAGGGTGTAATTATTTGAAGCATTTTTATTTAGCTCTTTAGACAGAAAAGCTTCTAGAATTTTATTAATGCAATCCATTAATAAAAAAGCAGTCTGTGCCAATAATTTACAATCAAAATGACTTAATTTAATGCAAAAAGTATGCCTTGTTATAACAGATTAACAAAACAGATATTTATATTTGGGTTCTGTTGATTTTTCTCCCACGCTGTTTTCAAATGAAAAATCCCACATGGCTTGTACAACAGTAATTTCACTGCTGTATCAGGGCAATTTTTACATAGAGTCAAGATCAAGATATATACAGTACTGTGCAAAAGTTTTAGGCAGGTGTGAAAAAATGCTGTAAAGAATGCTTTCA